ACAAAATTGTGCAAGCATTTTTATGCCAAGTCTCCCTTCCTTCGTGCTTCTTTGGTTCTGCTCATATTCAGTTCTGCTCATAGATCATCTCCTCTGTACCGTCAACTGCATTCCTTGCTGTTGACCATGACAAGGTGATGAGAGCATTCGACCTTTGCTCCTCTGCTGCATGACCAGGTTCTGAGAGTTACTGTGCTATCACACTTTGACTGCACATCCCAGAAGCCTGAGAATCCGCCTTCATTTTCTTTTCCTACTTTGTGTTGCTTGCGTTTTTCACAGTGATAACCCTTCTCTTCTTACCTACTGAGCAGTTCTGGGGTCATTAAAGACCAAAATAACTCTGCATAAAACTCCAAATAGTAAAGATTTCCAATACCATACTCTATGTATTTTGTAGACTCCCCTTACTATAGTTGTTTGAATTTTGTTCACCCACCTCTTTTTGATTTTATTGAATGCTGTTTGAGTTTTTTAATCTCACTGCTATAGGGACACTGTTCACTTCCAGATGATATCCAAAATTTGGGTAGAAATTACCACATATAACACACTCTGTCTGTAGAATATGGATGTATCCTGTATTTTACCGTAATCTAGATCACTGATTAAAATTTTCTTCTCTAAATTTGGCACATAATTATGCATTACTTTAGTGACAAATTAACGAACAATAGATTTAGAAGACATCAATTAGAAACTAGATTAGAAAATAGATGATATCTTTATAATCAATAGCTGTGTTCATTCATTGAATATTCATAATAATTTCCTAGATTTTGGTGTTGTGACACACACCTTCAATTCCAGTACTCAAGAGGCAGAGGTAGGTGGATCTCTGAGTTTAAGGCCACCAGGACTACACAGTAAGATGCTCTGTCAAAACAAAGCAAGCTGATTTTCATGTCAGAAACAAAAATCAAAACAAACCGTTGCAGAAGCCTAACTATGGAACTAAGTCTTATTGAAAGGGAAGTCATCAGTTACAATTGCAAAATTTTGCTATTTTGCTGCTTTGGGTTTGGAGTTTTTTTAGGGAACAGTCACTACATACTTGGCAAGTTTTATTCACTCACAGTGGTCTCCTTGAGGAGTACCTGTGTAATTCCAAGTACTTATCAGCATTATCAAATTAATTCGAAGACAGCCACTGCTAATCAGTGTTTTAGTGCTGATTGTTTTCAGGGATCTAGTGCCTGCAATGGTAGAGTATTTGCCACTTAGTGGCACTAATTAATGCTTTTTTCAAAGGGGTAGCTAAAGATCAAGGTCTATACCCCCAAAGTTCAGGGAGCATCATAGAAAAGACTGTAAGAGCCAGAGGACCAGGGTGCCTGTTGAAAGATCATGTCTGAGCTTCAGCCATGAACTTAAATGATATGATTGCCTGAATAACATGTAAACAATGATACCACTAGTTGGACTGCCAGGTTGAATGGAATCTGTCACCCAAAACCTTACTGGTAGGGAATAGCTCCAGGCAATTAATGACTGCTGAGGAGGGAGAATGTCTTTCCTAAAGAGGAGCCCACCTAAATATGATCAGCCTTACATAATTCATACTAGCAATACTAACCAAACAGACTTAGTAAGTTCTCTTGTATTAGTTTATATCTATATAAAACAGTAATACTAAAAAGAAACCCATGACTTTGAGAGGGAGTTGAGGATATGTGGGAGGGAATTGGAGGGAAGAAGGGGAGTAGGGAAATCTGTGAATACATTACTCATATATGAAATCTTTAAAAAGTAAAAAAGTAAAGAATTTTAAATGTTTAAATGTACCAGATCATTCTTCACTGTGGTCATTCCACATCTTCTTGGTTGGACTCTTGACAACTTACCTTCTTTCTGCCTTTAAATGGAATGATAACTCACATCTAAGGAGAAACATAAGATCTGTCCTGCTTGATTGACAGATCATTTTCTTTGTACTGTCTGAATCATGCTGTGTCTTTAGTTCACTTATTCTTAAAGGTACTTTTCCTAATTTACATTGATTTGCTTTTTCTCTTGTGAGTAGTTAATTTTTTCTAAATATTTGTTTCCTCATTTGAAAAGAGTAGTTAAAGACACATAATTAAAGAAACTGGCTTCTATAGGGGTGAAAGTTTTTTGTGTAGGTGGTGGTGATGCATGCACTCAGTAGGCAAAAGCAGGTGAATTTCTGTGAGTTTGTGAGTTCCAGGACAGCCAGTGTGAGCTACATAGAGAAACCCTGTCAGGAAAAACAAAAACAAGCAAACCAAAAAGGGTTTTTGTCTACAATATTGCAATGAACTTTTTATCATTTGGTGGCATTTATTGACAGGCTTTTGCAGTTCAGATCTGCCCACTACTACCCTGTATATCTGATATATAATATAAGACAAAATTTGCCCACTAATTTTTATTTATTTATGCTAAATAAATTAAGAATCTCTATCACCAAGTCCTTAGTATTTCATATTATTTTCCCCAAAGTTCATGATCAGTTAGTTCTATCATTCATATTTATGCTCACTAAAAAAATTTATTTTGGCTCAGCTTCTCTTGCCCTTTGTAGTCTCTTTAACTTCAGATAGATCAATTCTTGTAGCTGTGATTTTAGTTATTTTAAGTCTTTAGTTTTAATTATAATAAAATCATTTCTTGTACCCAAGAGCTTTGTTAATCTTACCATCATTGGCTTAAAGATTTGTCTGTTCACACCCAATTGTGTCTCTGTGAATGCTAAGCAGTTAGTAGACACTGTATAAGTATTGCTTTTTATCACTTTATTGGTCAAATACTATTCCATAGAAGAGACAGTAGATTACCTTGTGGCCTTTGTGTGCCTCCGTCATTAGAGATTTCATCAATTTGCAGTGTTACACCTTAATTAAACTATATGTATAAATAAGTTTAAATGATTGCAGATTTTAGAGATACTCAAATTTCTTTGCTCCAGGCTCCTTTCCTTTGTGCCAGTCAAGGCACAGGGTCAATTCAAGGCACTCATCACACCTAATAACTGCTTCATTGCATAAGGGGCACAGAAGCCTACCACTACCTTAGAAGCCTACTTTACTCGATGGGATGGCGGTCTAGCCAGAGATTGGAAGTCACTAGTTCATACTTCTTTTTCCTATCTAGAATTATTGATGGCTTCCAAGCCATGAGAATACTTGTTTTTGTTTGTTTGTTTTACAAATTAATTTGGGATTCAGAATACATTTGAAATCTGTTCATTTGTTCACAAGCTGAGACAGATCTCTGTAATGTGCTTCTTTATCTTATCTTTGAACATTACTGAGAAATTCATAAAAACATACTATGAGTGTATGTGTAGAACTTATTGGAATTGAAAACACTTATTATTTAACACACTGAGTCCATTTAGTGCTGCATATATGGGCCTAGATTTACCCACTGGGGCATGGGTAATCAACCCATGGCTTTGTACTAGTCAAGGTTCTCTAGAGTAACAGAATTTACAGAATCTCTCTCTTCTCTCTCTTTCTCCCTTTTTCTCTCCCTCTTTCCCTCCCTCCCCCCTCTCTCTCTGTGTATATATGTGTATACATAAACATATCTTCCCACCTCAAAAGGTCTGTAATAAAGCTGTGTGGTTTTTTGCTTATTTGAATAAAAAGTCCTTCACTGGTGTGCCCTCTGTTTTTGAGTTTCAATTAATTACAGGTGTAGTCAAGTTGACCACCAAGAGTAGCCATCAAACTTCTCCCCAAGCAGTCATTAACTGACAAAGTTCCTCGGGTATGCTTGGGTGCCTCACGAGTTCCTCCAGACTCCTTGTTGGAATTTTAAACAAAGTTGATCTCTACAAGGCCTTGTGTAGGTCACCACAGCTTCTCTTGAGTTCATGTGCCCAGCAGGCATCGTGGCACTTGTAAAAATAAGTTTGCTTGCCCTACATTGGAGACTGAAATGCCTATGCCATGGAAATACCCAGTCCTTATAACATTTTTTTAAGGTAGATATTATTATTTTGTCCTTTCTCAACATACATGGAATCCGGCCACTGATGACCTTGTATTTTTGAGGTTTCAGTAGCTTTCTTCTTTAGGGTTTCTTTCTTCAGAGATTGTATCTGGGATTTTGGTTTTGATACTGAATTTTGCATCTTAAGTAAATTTTATTGTAGTATTTGGAATGGAAGAGTAATTTCATGAAGCAGATCTTAGTAGCCTCAACTGTTGACAAATGACTCTTATCGTTTAATTTGGTGCAAGATGCTGGGAGTGTTGGTCTAATTTCTTTAGTCAACCTCAGTTAATGGTTTGGGACAATTAATTTCCAATTGTTTCCCAGTAGAGCAGATTTACTTGTATATTAATGAGGCGCAGGTGTGGGCCCCTGGTGCCTGCATGCCTATGAGGCATATTTCAATTGTTTATCTACTCAGCTGCAGGTACTACAAGGTATTCAAGCTTGCCTTTAACAGTTTTTATGTTGTCTTGAATTTCTCTGCACCTGTTAACATTTCCACACTGATGGTGTAATGAGCTGCTGTGGAGATTTCAGTAGGAAACATGCACTGTTGAAAAGGGGTTATTCTGTTGTATTTAGCTGTCCAGCCTAGCAAGAAACAAATCAGAGTTACTCAAAGAGTTCGTTCATGTGAGAAGTTGGTACAACCAACAGGCCATTTCTTTGTTATGTAATTTTGGAAACAGGTGTACTTTTGTTAATATATAAATAAGTCATATATTTTTATAAAGAGTCATTTTTCTTATTTATTCACTGAACTATACTACCAGTGTTTTCGAGGAAATGGAATAGCCTCCATAGACATTACAAATTTCAGAAGCTAGGATAATTATAGCGATCTACATATTCATTAAATCTACAGAAGAACTGTGTCCAAGAAGACAGCCATTCGTTCAGACACAGAACACCACTAAATATATGCATTTTAGAAGTTAAATTTCTTAGGCTATTTAAAATTAGTTTCATGTAGCACTCCTCTTGTAGAAGGATTTTAACAGAAGGACACCACTGATCTGGTTTCTTTCCTACAGGAAAGAATGGGAAGAACTATTTGTAAACAACAGTTACTTGGCAACAATAAGACAGAAGGGGATTAATGGGCAGCTAAGAAGCAGCAGGTTCCGCAGCATCTGCTGGAAGGTAAGAAGGAAATATTTATTTACAGTTGGTGGTGGGAGTGTATCAGCACATTACCTATGCCCTGGAAGATTACCACACAGGGATCACTAAATCTTCCAGGTGATTTTACTCCTTTTTTTTTTTTTTTCTTTTTAGACCATTAGTGTTTACCTTGCATAGGACATTTACTAATAAGGTTGAGCCACTGGGGCAAGCAGAGTTAGTAAATGAATCCTTTGAAGTAGCTCTTTTTACTTCTTTTAATGGTGAACTTTTCAGAGAAGTACTGTTAAATTACATGGAGGAGGCTTTTTTAGATTTTCTTGAAGTTGGGCATGAGAAATGAAGTGGGTAAACTTGAAGTCCCTATTACCTGAGCTGCTATCATTAGTCACTCTCCTTTTGTCTCACTAAAGAGCAGGTAGAAAAGACTTGACATTCTTTTCTTAGAAACGTAAATGGAGGGCAAGCAGGAGAGCAGAAGGAAACTGGGTCATTCTCCTTCCGAGAGGGGGCATTGGTGACCAGAGCAGTAATGGAATCTGTAGTCATCTTTTTAATTGCTTTGAAAACTTAGCCCTTTTTGTTCTCTAAAATGAATGAATTTGAGTGTAGACTTACTTTTTAAATGACCTCTATCAGTATTTTTAGTACTATCTGCATAAATTGAGCATGTAAAGTCTGTGCAAATCAAAATAATAAGAAATACATGATGTATTATATGGTTCTAGATTTAATAATTTAGATTTAATAATGAAAATGCATTTTTCTTTCTTAAGAGGCAGACAAGAGACCTGCTGCTAGAAAATTGGTATTCAAATATTTGTGCCCCACCCTCACTTCCTCTTGTTTAACTTTAAGTATATTTCATTTACTAAAAATAGACCTAAGTCTGGATTCATTTTATTAATGTATTAAATTAAATCAAGTTTGTCATTTTAAGAATGTTACTTTGATAAGCTGACTGCTAGTTGTAAATTACATTCTGTGCTGTTAAAGGAGCAGCATCACTTCATGCCCTCAACCCTCAGATCCCTCCTTGTCCTGCAGACCTAGGGATTGCTTACAGGTGTTACCTGCACTAGCTTCCTACCACCTACCAGTTCCAGGACAATTAGAAATGAACCTCTGTCTGTGTTCCTCCCTTTTTAGAATAAATCTTGAAGAAAGCTTAAATCTATTTTGTGATTTAACTTTTTAATTCTTTTTTAACCATTGATTATTTAGTTTTTGACTATCCTAACTATTTTTAATATATCCATGAGCATATTATTGGGAATTGAAATGGTTATATTGAATGGAACATACCACGAATGGAGTGTTTCTTTATATTTTCAAGCAATTTTATTTAACCTGGTTTTCATACTTAGTAGATTTTACTTTTTATAAAGTTATCTCTTTTTCTCTCCCCCAATAGCTCTTTCTTTGTGTTCTTCCTCAAGACAAAAGTCAATGGATAAGTAGAATTAAAGAACTAAGAGCATGGTATAGCAGTATTAAAGAAATAGTAAGTAAAGAGTAAATGTAACTAATGCAGTTATTTTCATATGCTTAATTTAAAGTTCACCAGCCTCTGATCTTTGATATGTCTCTTTCTTTACCAGCATATCACTAATCCAAGGAAAGCTGTTGGCCAACAGGATCTGATGATCAACAATCCCCTTTCACAAGATGAAGGAGTAATGTTCCTTTTTGTTATGTTTACTTTTTTCAATTATTTCATTATTTTATTTGTATGAATGTTTTGCCTACATGTATGTCTGTGTAACATTTGTGTGTCTGGTGCCTTTGAAAGCCAAAGGAGTCAAGTAGATCTCCTGAGACGGCGGTTATGGGTGGTTATGAGCCACCATATGGTTGCTGACAACCAAACCAAGGCCTCTGCAAGAGCAACCAGGGCTCTAAACTACTAAGCCCTTCTCTATTCTTGTTCCAACCTTTTCATTCTGAAAATCATGCTTTAATGATTTATGTCATCTGCGTAGGGTAAGGGTATCTTATCTGAAAATCCTTATGCAAACAATGTATTTCATGCCGTGTTTTCATTATTCTAAATGCTGAACTACCTAGATCCTGATGTGTGTGTGTGTCTGTGTGTGTGTGTGTGTGTGTGTCGCGTGTACATATGCACATCTGTAGAGGTCAGAGGTGGACATGGTATCCATCTCTACCATTCTTTGCCTTGTTCCCTTGAGACCAGGTCTCACTAAAACTCCTGCTTGCTTTCGGCTAGACTAGCTAACTGGGGTCCACCTGTCTCTGCTCCCCACTGCTGGGGTTAGAGCCACAGAAAGCCATGCTCAGCTTTGTATGTGGACGCTGAGAATTCAAGCCCAGGGTCTCATGCTTGCATCTTATCTGCTGAGGCATCTACTCAGCACCTGTGGGCCCAGCTCTTAGAGGTTCTGCACCTCCCAATAGTGCTAAGACGCTAAGCTGTCAACCCAGCGGCTGTAGGAACTGTCAGATCTACCCCATAGCAATTTCTCTGGACCTATCCACTGGACTATAAATTATTTCTTGCTTTTTAAATGTAGGAATACTCTTTTTTGAGAAGTAAATGGCAATTTTAGGTTGGCTGTTTCTTCCAAAATATGTTTCATTATTATTAAAAATTTATATACTTGATTTTGACTTTAACCATATTGTCATTAATACAAGCTGTGTTTCAGCGTAAAAATGGCTACCTGTTTTCTTGGACTCTGTTTTCCTTGGTGGAAAATTTGCCAGAATTTGGCTAATTTAATTAAAAACATCAATCCATTAGAACATAGGAAAATAAATGGATTGTCTATTTGTCCCTGGCTAACTTTCAGTCTGAATAATTAACTGCTAATTATAGGCTTGTGTCCACAGTCTAAGAATTTTTCATGTTCAAAATTAAATTTTCAGGTACTTGTTTCCAGACCTGATCACATGGGTTCAGTCCCTGAGACATGTAGGGGCTGGTGTGTTGGTGCGTGTGTGCATGCAAGAGTGTGTGTTATAAGTGCAAGGGGTCTCGTAGGAGCTAACTCTAAAGTGATGAGGAAGGAGGCATCAGTTTTTAGTGGAAAAAAAAACCTAAGGAACACCTTAGAAGTCCACACTGGGCAGGACTATGGCTGGAAGAAAGCAACTACCTGTAGTGACTGTGCAGAAGCTCATATCCTGGTGGAGTGTAGCAGTTACTACTTGACAGAGACTATATAACTTTCTCACTTGTTGCTGCTCTGCACCTGTGTATGTAGCTGAGGAAAAAAATTCCTCATTTTATAGATATCTTAGTAATTTTCTGATGTAAACTTTGCTATATCATCATAAGCTATTACATAATTTTTAGATGGTTGGACTTGTTCCTTTGTTTTGTTGAGAGAAGGTCCTACTACTTGGATTTGACTAGACTGGAACTTGATAGGCTGTCCCTCAAAGTCACAGAGCACTGCCTGCCTCTGCCTCCAAAGTTGAAGGGATTAAAGTTGTGTGCCACCTTTGCCCATCATTAAGAAATTTTTAGACTTTCCCCAAGTTTACATTTTGAAAATGTAAATGCCTCTTGGGGAAGAAAAGAGCAGTGGAAGTGCCCTTCATCCGACAGAGATGATAGAACCTTCAAAAATGTATACAGTAAGGACAATTGAAAAAAATGTAAGCTTTTGAATTGGAGCAAATTTTAATAGAAATTATTTCTGCCAGGTTTCCTATCTCAGAATTCCAAAGTGACAGCTTTGAGAATAATAATTCAATCACTTAAATTATTAAATTGAAGTCATAAAAGTCACACAGTGTGAGATTGTTCTAATTAGGTTGTTCTCATTTTCCAGAGCCTTTGGAACAAGTTCTTCCAGGATAAAGAATTGCGGTCCATGATTGAGCAGGACGTCAAAAGAACGTAGGTAGAGCTGTGTTTGTCCACTGATTCAGAACGGTGTTACTTCTCTACAGTTTACCACAGTGTGAGATCCATAAAGAACCCTAAATTGTCTTGTTTTCTACTTACTTAATGCAAAGTTGTTTTTCTAAATAAATTTTGATTCCACAAATTTTTTTCTTAAAGATTTCAAAATATTCAAATTAAAGTGAATATCGACCAAATAATGCTAGCTTTATCAATTTCTGATAGTTCACATTATTCTAAAAGGATTGTATTGTGTGATTATTTATATTGATAATACTTGGACAGCTTATCCTCTGTATATATGTGAATTGCCTTCTAGCCAAATTACTCTGTATCCTTCTCCTTCCAGTTTACTGTGGTTATCCTTCTTGCTTTCCTCTGGGTGCTGTTCAGGTGTGTGAATAACCTGTTCTGGTAGTCTATCTAGCAGTCATATGAAAAACACCTCTTTTGGCACAGTAAATGTTCTATCACTGTTACAAACCAGCTTCCTCTCTCTGCACTATCTCTTGGGAAATACTCTCAATATCCTCTCTCTCTCTCTCTTCTTGTACTTTTCTGTGAATTGGGATAATAGTAATTACCTCCCAAAGTTTGTATGGATTAATCCCTTAAGGTTTATTGTCCTTTTGCCAGAAGTTCTTGCGAGCAAATTATGTCATATTTTGACTGTCTATTTAGAACTTGCCAGTTAGTAATCCTTAGTCTAAACATTCCAAATCCTAAATGTTTGAGAATTCAAAACTTTTTGAATATTGATTCAAAACCCTCAAAATTTTTGATTTTGGATTTTTAATTAGGGATGCTCAACATGCATGCAAAATAAAGTAGTGTTTTAGCTAGTAAAGTTATTCATTGGAGCTGCAAACCTGCAAGAGAGTGTATCACAAATACTTAACCTTCTGCAACTTTTCCAGTGTCTTCCATTGTAATTCTGTCTCTGACAATGTCAGGCCTCTAGCTTTCTAGCTCTCCTTATCTCAGTTCCTTATCTCAGGCTAATGAAGTTGTAACTATCCCAATTTTTATTACATAAACAAAATGTTGCTACAAGGTAAATCAAGGAATCCAGTCTCTAAAATTTCTAATTTAGAGTTTGGATTGTTCTGGGGGAAAAAATTGCCATGTTTTAATTCAAAAGCTCCAATGTTAGCAATTTTAAATTTTTAACATTATTTAAAATAACTGAGTTCAGGATGCAATAGCATGTTCATACTAGATGCCAAAGAAATATGTTATTTGGTCTATCAAGGTCTATTCTAAAAATACACAACATCTATAGTACCATTTGTAGATTAACATACTATGAGCTTTGCCAAATAGTCTCATCTTTTCTTTAGATATATTCTGTCTCCTAAAGTAGATGATTAAAGTTCTTTGAGTTAGTATTTTCCTTTTAACTTCGGCCATACTTAAAAGTATACCTCTTTGCCTCTAGGATTTCCTCATCATCATCTTTAACTTTTGATCTTTTTTATTCTCAGTCATTGTTAACATCTTAGATAGTTCTATTTCCTCTGTGAGTCTACAAGATAGAATATTTTTATTTTATAGCTTGCTTTTATTTATAATTTATATATAGCCCAAACAAACGTTGTATCCTCATTTTTAAAAAAAAAATCTTTTGTCATTTTGAGATCTCATTAATAATAGCAATATTCTCTGCTGAGTAGTACTCTAATATGTATATATTCCATACTTTCTTCATCCATTCTTCAATTGAAGGGCATCTAGGTTGTTTCCAGGTTCTGGCTATTACAAACAATGCTGCTATGAACATAGTAGAGCATATACTTTTGTTGTATGATAAGGCCTCCCTCTCTTGGGTATATTCCCAAGAGTGGTATTGAAAAAAACAAGGATTTCTTGAGGTTTGCAGGCAAATGGATGGAAATAGAAAACACTATCCTGAGTGAGGTAAGCCAGACCCAAAAAGAGGAACATGGGATGTACTCACTCATATTTGGTTTTTAGCCATAAATAAAGGACATTGAGCCTGTAATTCGGGTTCTTAGAGAAGCTAAATAAGAAGGAGAACCCAAAGAAAAACATGTAGGCATCCTCCTGAATATTAACCTTCATCAGGCGATGAAAGGAGACAAGAGACAGAGACAGAGACCCACATTGGAGCACCGGACTGAAATCTCAAGGTCCAAATCAGGAGCAGAAGGAGATAGAGCACGAGCAAGGAACTCAGGACCGCAAGGGGTGCACCCACACACTGAGACAATGGGGATGTTCTATTGGGAACTCACCGAGGCCAGCTGGCCTGAGTCTGAAAAAGCCTGGGTTAAAACCGGTCTTGCTGAACATAGAGGACAATGAGGACTACTGAGACCTCAAGAACAATGGCAATGGGTTTTTGATCCTACTGCACGTATTGGCTTTGTGGGAGCCTAGGCAGTTTGGATGCTCACCTTACTAGACCTGGATGGAGGTGGGTGGTCCTTGGACTTCCCACAGGGTAGGGAACCCTGATTGCTCTTTGGGCTGACAAGGGAGGGGGACTTGATTCGGGGAGGGGGAGGGAAAAGGGAGGCAGCGGTGGGGAAGAGACAGAATTCTTTAATAAATAAATAAATAAATAATAGCAATATTCTCTTTCAACCTGAAGATATGTATTAGTCACTTCGTTAGAAATCACATTATCAGCAACTAAGGTAATTTTGAATAAAATTTTAAAATTAAGTCTCATTTACATTAATCACATTTAAATCTTAAGAGCTATTGGACAGACCTATGTAGAGTGTTTCAAACTTTGCAGAAGGCTCTGTTGAATAGCACTGTATAGATAATTGTTATTTTTGTGTATTATATGAATATGTTTTAGGTTTACTCATATTGCATATGGAAATGGCATATGCTGACTGTTTGCATTGTTTTCCCTCCCCTTGAGAAGTCTCCAGTTTTATAATTTATGAGACTTATGTAAGTTTTGATCAAGTGTAATTCTCTATTACATTGTGATGTGCTGATAGCAAGTAGACCACTGTTGAAAACCCTCATATATTAGTACTATCTAAACAATTTACAGAACTAATTTATTTAATTACTAGTCTTTTAAATGTGAAGTCTACCTTAGCCTTCATTCCTTTTCTCCAGAAGTACTCCCAGAATGTCCTAAATGTTGGAATATTTTACACAGTTTCCTTAGAATCTATTTTTTATTTAAATTAAAAACAAATTCCTCTGGGGGAAGGGGTATTTTACAAGCAATTTTAAAGCAGAATTGATTTTGGTGTGTGTTAATGCAGACAATCTGCCCAGTGTTAAAATGTTACAGGGGAAAAAAATACAAGCTGCCATATTCATGTGATCACACCAAAATAGCAGCTTGTATTTATATTTTCAGTCTCCTTGAGGTGGACTGCAGGCACACATGAATGAAGAGATGTGCTTCGTGTTGTGATTTTATTTAATGCAGACAAAGTACACGCTTGTGCATTCACGAGCAGCCTCACATATGCACTTGTTCACAGCCGAGAAAGTGAAAACTACAACACAAGCCGCTCTCCACGCGTTGTCAGCAACCTGTGTGTGTTTCTTAAATAGTAGAGGGGGAGAAAACAGACTTCAGGAAAACAGTGCCTCTGTCCAATGGCCCACAGTCCTTCTCATTTCACATTTAAGGTAAAAGCAAAATAATTATTATTGCTGCATACAGAACTTAGAAATATGTGTTTTCCCATGCTGCTGTTGTTTTTGTTCCTCTTAGTGAAAATAGATGGTTTTTCCCCTAAAATAATACATCTTGATTAGTTTCCTCTCTAGCGGTTCCTCCCTACTACTCCTCCCACCCAAATCCACCCCTTCCTGTCTCTCATTAGAAAATATCCAGGATTATATAAGATAATAATAAAATAAATAAAATAAAATTAACACATTGGAATTGAACAAAACTAACAGAAGGTAGGGCTCATGAGAAGGCACAAGAAACAGAGACACTTGTTCACACACTCATAAACCACATAAACACACTAAATTGGAAGTCATAGTATCTATGCAAAGAACCTAAGATAGACCCATGCATGTTGCCTCAGTCTCTATGAGTTCATATGAGCTTTGACTATGTTGATTTTTTTTTCTTGGTGTGTACCTCCCCATCTAGCATTTACTGTCTTTCCACCTCCTCTTCAGAAGGGCTCCCTGATTCCTGAGGGAAGGGATTTGATGGAGACATCCCATTTAGGGCTGAGTGTTGCAAGGTGTCTTATTCTCTGCTTAATGTCTGCCTGTGGGTCTCTGTGTTTGTCCTATCTGCTACAGGATGAAGCTACTCTGATGATGGCAAAGCAAAGCACTGATCTGCATATATAGCAAAATGTTATTAGAAGTCATTTTATTTATTTATGTATTTATATTTAGAACAGTGTATCTGGTTTTATCCTAGGTTCAGGGCAGTTTGGGGTATGGGATTATTTTCATGGAGTGGGCTCTCTGTCAAATCATATTGGTTGCTTACTGTGGCACAGCATGGCTTCACAAGATGGACACTACACATGATGTGGGCTGAAAGGCAGGACATACACTGGGCAACAGTGTCGGTTATGGGGAGTGGTGGTAGGAGCAGGGCAGAGAGATTATGGGCTGTGCTCTGGCATTCTGTGGGAGTCTTCCAGAGACTGTGGCAGTTCCTTTAAAAGCAGGCCTCTTTTCCCTAGTTCTTGAAAGACTGCACTGCACACCGACTCAGAATGATGAACTGGAACAGACTAAAAGCATGCCAATCAACTGGGGGAATGCCATTCCAAACACCACTCCAACAATGATCCCAATGGTAATCTCCATGAAACTGGTCACCAGATCATAACAGCCCTTCTGGGTTCACTTTGGTGTTGGCCACAGTCAGATTATGCAGATCCAGGGGGTTACAATCAGTTTCCTTCATACAACTACTGGGGGTGGGAGGGTACTGTGTTCCAGGAAGTAGGGGCTACTGTTCTAGTTGGTGTAGTTCTGCATGCTCCAGCAGCTTAGTCTGCACTGTGCATGGT